AGGAGATTACATACATGGCTCAGTCGCAAGAGATTTAGGAGGTAAGAAACAACGCGAGACACAGTTAGCGGATGGAGGTTCTTCGCATCGCGCACAAGTGTTTGAAGAGTTGTTGCCAGGTTTTCACCAAGCACCTCCAGGGTCTTTTCGTCACGAAGAGTGAGCACCGTTGCCAATTCCAGAACGAATACCATTGAAGGATCGTATTTGGGCTGGTTGGGATCAGCTCTGCTGTTGGCAGCTCTCGACGTTGGTGTCGGGCGTTCGGGTTTTACGACAATGACTGCTGGTGCGTTCTCCTCGGGAAGCAGAGACAGCAAAGCCTCCACAAGCATCTCCAATGAAGACAGGGGAAGAGATCTGCGAGAGAAGTCAGCATCATGGCCACAAGCCATTCAAGGAAACAGTTTTACTGACTTGATATTCGTTAATATTTCGGATATTGAGCACGCAGTCACACAATCCACTGTGCAGAGTGTGTTGTCGAGTTCTTCATCCGAAGGCTCAGGAGGGTCGTCTGCCGCATAACTTGAGAGGTAAGATGTGAATGCAGATAAAATTCCCGTATCGTTGCTGCGTCCATCCCGGTCAACCACCTGTGATGGAGGCTGTAGTGGAATTGGCGAGATTTCAAGTTCAGAGGTGATTTTAGCATCAAATGGCGGGATGAGAGAGTTGATGAACAAGTTACTCAAGATTCGGACGATATGCTCCCAGCCTTGTTTGACAGTTGCCTCATTCGTTGAGAGGACTCGGAAAAGCACCACAGTTGCCAGTTGTGCTCTGAAGTCTCGGCCAAATTTGACAGCTAGCTCGCTGACCATCACGCTCTTCTGGCCTACCTGGACCTCTGTGTTGAGCGCTGTGCTTGGAGGTTTGCTAGTAGCCAAAGTGCTAATCGATGCAAGGGAGAAGACGATACGGTCAAACGCCTCAGTCAAGCCGTAGCGGGCAGCTATCTGTGCACACTGATCGAAGCCATTGACCACCCGAGAATATACTGCATCATCCGATGCAGACATGAAGACATATGAGAGCGTCGCAATCACTGGTTTCCACGTAGCCGCAAACATTTCGGCATCATACATGTTGGTCTCTCCAACTATGATGTCGCCAGCAGACGCAGACTTTAGCAATAGTTCCTTCCAAGCATAGTCAAACGCATGCTTGTTTTCGTGTTCATCGGGCAGAATTATTTCGTTGTTCTTGATAGACTCGTAGATATCTTCGAGGAATTCCTCCGCGAAGTCTCCACCCCCGTTGACACCTCGCAAGTTCTTAGCGAAACCAACGCAAGTCATACGGTTTTGTGACTTCACGTTGCGGTTGTAAAGTTCGGTGTTCAGCATGATGATGGCGTAGGTCAAAATGTATAGTGCGTCTTTGTCGGCGATGCCATCCGGCTTTACCTTTTCAACGTAATGCTCCGAAAAAGTAGTCACAATTCGCTCAATAAGCGGCGATTCGCCGGGCAAACGGAATGAACTGAGTAGTTCCCGAAGGGCTTCAACTGCGCTACGCCCTGAGAAGTCAAGAAGGTCCACAAATGCCCCCAACAACTCCTCGTTGCCACGTTTGGAGATGTACTCCCCAAGAACTTTCTTCGATAGACGTGTAGTTCCCTTCAAGAAGCGAGCGACTAGAACAGGATTCTTCGCATCCTCAATAACACCATGTTCCACAAGGAATGCAATTCCCTTCTTGGGGTCCTCATTGAACATCTGTGCTCCCTTGATGATGAGTTTCTTGGTGTGACGTTGTTTCTTCAAGCTTTCTTGAGGAGGGTAGTCTCCTTGAACCGGTTCGTCATCTAGCCGGTCATGAATGAACTGCACATAGCCCAAAAGAGCATCGAGACATAATGGGGGTACATTTGTAGTGCTCCAAGTTGCAGAGTCTGGGATAGCATTGCGAGAGAGCAATCCAATCATATCCTCGCACAGATCTGCTCGGTCCACATCACAATCATAGTTGACGAAAAGCTCAACCATAAAGCTAGGTATGCGTGACAACATGCCAATGCTCTCTACCATTGCCTCTCGAGCTTCGGGCCTTCTCGCCCCACCTTCGAGTCCCAGTTTCTGTCGGTCTTGAACAGGAACAGGTGTGGCTCTTCCGCTATTGGCCTGCGAGGCCGGCTGTTTCACCAACTTTGGTGATTGGGGAATGCCTTCGTAGAGCGATGGGTCGATGCCAGGCTCTCGCGGTATTTCCACGCGAGGGTGCAAGCAGGCCACTAAGTATGAAATATAAAGTTCCTGCTGTAATTTCAAAACCGGCCGGCAAGTCGATAACAATGTGCCAGCCACTCTCAACGATCCAGTCAGAATAGCCATGTGTTCTGATCTGACTAGCTGGAAAAGATATCGACAAAGATCATCCCTGGCCAGAGCAGCTAGACTAGGATGCCGAGCAATGGAGGGACCTGCTACCTCCAAGGCAACATCAATAATTCGAAGTGCCATCACACGCATGGAGTCGGTATGTTGCCGGTTATGAGGGTCCAGCAGGTCGATCAAGACACGGAATAATTCTTTGATGGATGGTAAAGAATAAGGCTGAAGCTCCGTTTCAGGGTCATCATGTGGACTCGGCGGTGCAGCTGCTGCTGCGCTGCCATTTCCTGCCTGCTCAGGTGATCCCTCTCGACTGGTACTGTGCCGTTCTGCGGCTGCTGTGTCTGCGCTGATGGCTGACAGGTGCTGCGATGTGACAGTATCTCCATTAACCGAAGGATCCATCTTCAGACGAGATGGAGGGTCCTTTTTTGTATCTTCGCCCGCAAATGGATCCGGTCCTACGGGCATTTCTTGATCAAGATGCGACAAACGCATGAAGATCACCTGGCACATTTTGACCATGGCCATTTCGGCGGATCTCCGTAGAACCTCTGACAAACGACCCTGGCAGCACATGCTCAACCCAGTTTCCATCATCTCACAGACGCTCTCGTCACCCAAAAGTTCACCTTCTGGCCGTGAAAGTATGCCCTCCATCAACTTCAAAATTCTCAACAGCACGATCTCGTCCGCTGACGAGTCGCTGGCTTCGAATCGGCAGTGTGTAATGGCAGCCGAGAGTAGCTGCATTGCGATGGGGAGCCGCGGAGAATTCGGGTTGATAATATTGTACGAGAGGAACTTGGTAATGGAGACCAAGGCGATGGAGGTGATTGCGGCAGAGGTCGAAGAGGAGCGAACGACCTGTAAGAATGGATGAAGCAAAGCTGGGGTATCAAAAGTTCGGATATCTTTGCAATCTTTCAGATCACTCCGCAGACGTGTGAAGGCCGATATCAATGGGTTGTCTTGCATGCTCTTCCCCTTCTTCCCTCGCAGACCCCACCGATTGGCCAGGGCATGATCTTCATCAGGGCGAGGTGTCGATTGGCCAGTCCTGCGTGGGCCTGGGCTCGATGGTGCAGAGTTATCCCGCTCATAAACACGAGAAGCTCCATTGCCGCCCAAGATGGCGGAAACCGAGGAGTGAGCCCAGCGGGCATGCTTGCGCATGGACGAGGTGACGGTGATACATTCAGTGGTTACCAAAGCCACCGGGTCGATGGCAATTGGAAGGGAGGCTGATTCCATGGTGGTATCGAGCATCACAAGAGATGCTCGCTGTTGTGACACCATTTTGGAGGTCAGAACGAAACAGCTGGTCTCTTGATCATCATACTGCTGCTTGCCTTATCGAGCCTAGCGTCTTCCCCGCCTACTCACCGCCTACGACAGGGGCTGTACTGCACATTACCACTTAATCAGTATTAAACTGATAGGATTGGATCAAATTCTGTACCGATGGGGTATTACAGTACGATCTGGTATTGGGCTCCATCCATGGATCCAAAATGTTTGATTTCGCCTTTGTTGACATCCTTCCATGCCAGTTCAACATTATATGGCCAATATGGACAATGTACCCATATAGTTACACTATAAAAACTTGAAATAGCAGGTGAAAGGACAATAAGAAGCTCGAAGTACATCATGTATGCATGAATTCATCAAAATATTAGCACGGCGATCATCAATATAGTGGCTGATATATTTTCCGAGTAAACAAAGATGGGATTTCCGAATTGACTACGTACATTATTTATGAAACTTGCTTTTTGAACTATCCGAAACATAATGGCTTTGTGCGTTAGACAGATCTAGTATTTCTGTCTATTCTTATCATGAAACATATTCATATCGGTCTAGCATCAAGCTCGTGTACAACAATTTGAAACTGTAGAGAGCAAACAAGGTGCGAGGAACCCCATATATTCGGCGAATCATGCAGATGTGACCTGTCACACTGGTCCTTGCAGCAGTTGGGGATCGCAACGATAGCAACGGTGTTGATAGCGTTGGCCGGACAAAACATAGCACAGTAAACATTAAAAACAAGAGAGGAGGACACATCAAAGTCGAGAATGTAATTCTTACAACCTACCGGAGTGTGCTGAGCATATTCAAGTCATTCTTTTATTATTATTTCTTTTTACTATTCTTAGTGTTAGGCGCTAATACCCGCTCTTGGTCTATCGGGCTATCGCGATATCAACCCACCGCTTCTCCGTCCCCGTCCCCGCCTCAAAACAAACGCCTCCCCTCAATCTTACACTTCCTTTTACTTACGTTTTGGATATTTTCCTTTATTTTCTTTTTATTCACGACACTGCACGTGTCTACTTGAATCTATGAATTGAGTGGATATTTTCTGTACCTCAGCTTCTATGGAGGGGAGCACGAATGTCGCAATTGCTTTACCAAAAACAGGATAACACATCCTACATGCGATCTTCAACTGTCTTTCACTCACTCTAGGAAAATTCCTCTCATTTAATTCCAAACACTGCGCCCTTGTGTTTCCCGTCACTCGCTACCTTGCAGCTGCATCGCTCCTTCTACGCCAAACTCCGGCGCATTTCATTTGTTTATCGCACACGATAGCGCTTGCTCAACAGCTTCTCGCATTCCGCACTTGCATTGCAAGTGAAACCACCATTCGTTATGGCGACTATCGCACCTCCCCCCGCAGCTCCTACACTGGCAGACCTGCCTCTCGAACATCTCAGTCTCTATCACGTCGTCGATCCATGTTTATCATCCATCCTCGTCTTTTATGGTGCCGTTTCCACCGCCAATGCCACTGTGAGCAGTTCCCGTATCCAGGCCCATATATTTACACCCGCCGGGTTTCAAAGTTACCCTCGAATCACTGTGTCCCCGGCTGCCCCCGTGTATGCTGCGGTCAACCACTTACCCCGCGAAAAACAAGGAGATGAAGTGTGTCGCGGACTTGCAGTCAGCATGCTGAGGTATTTTGCCGAACTTTCTGAACCGGTCAAGCACCGTCTGACTGGGGTGGCTCGCGCTGGAAGACCGGGGGGAAAGGCGCCCAAGATGTTCGATGAGATGCATGCTGCAGACCTGGCCAACCGGATGACAAAGGTGGACGACTCATTGGAGATCATTCAGGATATTCGGAGCGCATATCAAGAACGTAAGGTGCCATGGATTGACATCGATGTGGTACTTCCTACGGGTACTATCCAGCCATCCCACCGGCGAGAAAGTGGCGGATCAGAGCTTGGGGAGAGTCAGAATCCTCAGTACGGTCCATACACACCCTTGATAGAGGCGTTGGGAGATCCTATGTTTTTGCCAACATCTCGACTGAAGCGTGCGCCGTCTCAGCCGACCAATGTCAGCAAATCGCGGCTGTTCGCAAGGAACCAGAAAGAGGCCCTCCGTCTCACCATGTGTGAGCTTGTGGACACCGAAGAGAGATATGTCGCGAAACTGTATTCTCTTGTCCATGAAGTGGCCGACGAATTTCGGCAAAAGGCTGTGGACAGAGGGCCATCCAGTAAAAGCCCCGACGAGGCAGCTTTGGCGGCATTATTTCCACCATGTTTGAATGAAATTCTAGAAGTCAACCTGGGATTTCTCGATGTCATTCGACAAGTGCTTGATGAAACCGAGAAAGATGCGATCACAGATATTGGTCAGGACACGGAGCTCCCTTCCAATCGTCGGGGTCTCCCGAGAGACAGAGCAGATCCGCTTGGAGCTCTGGCATTCGCAAAGGCCCTATTTGAATGGCTACCACAATTTTCCCAGCCATACGCGGAGTATATGCGAGCACATACGGGCTTTACACAAACTCTGAATTTGTTCATGAAAGATAAGAACTCTAGCTTTTCGAAGAGAGTATACGAGACGGGGGAGCAGAGATTGCGCTCTTTGTTGATGGAACCTGTTCAGCGACTCCCTCGATACAGTCTGTTGATTGACACCATGACTAGCAATCTGCCCTTGGTTCATCCTGCCGTGCGAACTCTGTTGAAAGCACGAGACATTGTGAAGGATATATGTGCGCTAGAGAATAATTCCCCATCGAGCCACGCCCAAAGCCTTCAACGCCTGAAGGAGCTAGTCAATGGATGGCCAGCGAACACATTTCCTGAAGGCCGGCTGATTACCGCAGTCGACTTCAACGAGATTACCCCTCCCTACAATTTAGACACACAGTCATCTGGCAACAGCACAGGGATCATGCTTCTTTATAAGACCTGCCTGGTTCTTCTAGCAAAGCCTGCCGAAAGCCGTGCCACGGCCCGTGGTGTGCTGGCTGACATCGACAATGCGGCCGCTTCAACCAGTGATATGTCCACATCTTTACCCCAAGCTGAACTCCAAGTTGTGCAGGTCCTAGAATTCCATAACGTGCGTTGTATGCAGTCCGCATGTGGTCGGATTTTGTTTGTTGCGCCAATTTCAGCCAAGTCCATGACAGATGAGACAAGCGCCGGAGCCGACCTACTTGCATTGGAATTGGCTGGAACGTATGAAGGAAGAGCCAATCGCCTAATTGAAGAAATGTCCAAAGCGAAGATCGAGGGCCGATTCCCCGAGAGTGAAAGAGAAGGAGGCAAATGGACGCTGCGAAGCCCTCCCACCGGAGCTGCGAGTAACGTGGGAATTCTGGCTTGTGTGTGCGAGGATGGCGAAAGCGCCGCGCTCAATCAGATCCAGTCATCCCCCATACGAATTGTTTTTGATGCATCCAAGGCGACTTGTAGTCAAATGTTGAGAGATTCCAATCTTGAGGTCATCATATCGATATCTCCTCCAAATGGAGATCAATACAGACTAGATGTCGATTCAGTGGTTGGATCTGGGTCTACGGATTTGATCACGGTGGACACCTTCATTCCCACTCTTTCAAGGCGTCGTAAGTGAATTCCCCCTTAACAATTCTGTCGTCTTACTACTGACATGTATAAACAAAGTTCAATATTTGCTCTCGCCTCTGCATAGCCCCCGAAACCCAGCATTGACGGACCCATTGGTTCATTCGAACTTTGAAATCCTTCGGTATATCGCCAGCAGCTTAATCACGCAAGTCAAGTCTTCACGGGGATTCCGGCCACCTTCGCCGACCAAACTGATCTCAAATCTGTTGGGTGGTAGCCGTGAAAATGTGCCCACGATTAAAGGGCAAGGATCGGCCACTCTTACCGGCGAATTCCCAAAAATGCCCCCGCCAAGAGGCAATCTATCGAGATCAAACACTTTGCCTTCGACATTCCCCGGAAAAGACAAAGAGAAGGACAAGGACAAAGAGAAGGAGAAAGAGGAATCTGGGAACAAAATATCAGTTGTCGGGGCATCTGCCTCTAAGGGATTGGATACTCAGTTCGGGTTGCTGGAACAAACATTTGCAGCATATGTACTTTCTCTGCAGTCTCGGAGTGGAAACATCCTGGGCCGAATGCTTCGAGTCAGGGATCAGGTTGATCGGGCGCCAGTCAATGAGCTCTACAACATTTTGCTGGAAGACCCAAGCAAAATCCAGGCTGCCGCCGAAGTGCCAGTTGATACGCTTTTCGTCGCATTTGAAACCTTCCTGGCGAACGCTTGGAGACGAAGCATGGGCCCTATATTGAGCTCCTCTTCTCTGAAATGGGTACAGAGCCAGTTTGACACTATGATACCGAGAGATTTTGATGAGCAATTCCGGAAATTTGTGACAGACATGAGCCCACAAAATAGACGAGCTCTAGCTGCAATCATTCGACTACTTGCTGAGCTACTGGATGCATCCGGAAATGACGGAGATCGCGGTGCTTTGACGATGGCATTTGCGGAGGTACTCACCGAGGACGGAGATCCCAGCCATCATGTCTCCCTTTTAGATCGACTGGTCGAAGACTTTGACAACCTCTTCGAAGAATTTGTTCCTGGTGGTACCTCTGTGGAAGGAACACTGACCTGCGATCAATCGAAATCGCATACCAACACTGGATCTGTCGGTTCCAACTCCTCCTCTTTCCGGAAACGCTTTGGCTTTGGTATGCATAGGGATACCTCGAAAAATGACGGCGAAAGCAAAGTCGCAGCAATTTTACGGACATTGAGCAAGAAGCAAAGCCCCGCCGGCTCAGAGCCCAATACACCCAAGGGCTCTCTGATGCGTTCCAAGTCGACTGATGTGGACGCTCGTCTGGGATTCCTTCGCCCTGCGTCTCGCGATCGTCCTACGTCTCGCGATCGTCCTACATCCCGAGATCGCCCTACATCTCGCGATCGCCCTGAATCCCGGGATCGTCCGTACCGTCCGTACGGGTTCGCTTCTGAGGAGCAAATCTCGAGGCCGGGCACCGGGTACGAGAACCCGCCTTCTCTATCTTCTTTCCGAGGATTCTCTGAAGATGCCGTGCCGAGGACTCGCAGAAAACGAAGGAGCTCTCTTTCGGACTTACGACCACTCACAGCATCCTCAGATGCATCCAGTATATCTCCGACTCAACAGCTCCGCCCGACGACCCCTTCCAGCCGCCCACGAGGAGAAGTGGTAACGCCCACCAAGCAGTCCAGACCTCAGAGCAGCTACATACCAACATCGCCTATGCGTGGCCAATCACCAATGCGCGGCCAATCACCAATGCGTGGTCAGTCACCAATGCGTTCTAAGCCGCCAGCAAAATCTAGCTCACCGACGCGACTAGGATCACCCATTCGCCGTCTGTCTCCGCCCCGTCCGTCTACGCCGAGCAGGAAGGAGAACATTGATCCCAGAACCCCACAGACGGAGCGTACAGCCAAGCCCAGGGGTAGTGTATCAGAATCGCCAGCAGAAGAGTCAAGGAGAAGATCCCACGCGTCAGGAATCCCTCAGCGCACTCCGGGCCTTCGGGAGCGGTCAACTACCAATAGTTCTGATACTAAGCGGCCCCAATCTTCATCTTCCTTGCAGAAACCGCAGAAACCGCGGATGCAAAGCCCGCAAAAGGTTGGTCACGTTGCATTTGTCTTGATATTGACTTCACTGACATTTCTTTAGTTACGTGATCGTGTTCAACTAGAAAAGAAGACCCAAAACTTCACTCAATTGGGCCTGAAAGACGAGCTCACGGAGCTTGGTAACGAATTACGTTCTCTGAAGCTTACACCACCAAGGCAATCCAACGCAATGAACCTGGAGTTTGATTTTGACCGTACAGACACCCCATATTCTGCTACCACCGCATCCCTTGAAGCTCGCATGCGCATTCTTGAAACCCGACTTGAGACGCTTACCGGGGAATACAATGGCCGCACAACCGCTCTCGAGCGAGACCTGGAGTCGTCATTGATTCTTAGCGAGAAGCGCGTGAAGAAATTAGACGAGCTTTATCGCGAGGCAAGCGCCGAGAACGAAGCTCTCTATGATCGGTTTAATACCGAGCTCAGCAAGATTGCAAAGGATGTCCGCTTGGGCCACGCAGAAGATGCCTTGAAGTCTCAACTGGCAAGTGCTCTAGACGAGATCGGTCGAGTGAAGAAAGAAAACTTCCGCTTGAAACGAGAAGTCGGAGGTCTTCGAGCCCAGTCGGCTGCCGCTGCACTGCTCAAGGCGAGCGATCAATGACCCAATACACATCATCGAGGGCTTGTTCCATCATTCATTCCTTTTCCACACCCGGACATCTTACTCAACAACCTGACACCTGTCACATTTATCTTTTTCTTTCGACTTGTATTTTGATACCGCACAAGCCTCTTCTACTTTCCTTTGAACACCTATTCATTTGCATACATATCATGAGCCTTTATTATTTGTATTCATTCCGATTTCTTGTCACCCTTCATACTGGCCTATCTGCACAGATAGCCATTGACCATGCATGCATAGCTCAGGAGATCAAGTTTTTACAGGACTTGCTTTTTTTGTTTGTCTAGGTGTTGTTGTCGTGTACACTAAGCCTCTTCGGCATCTTTATCCACCGGCCAGCCCATCAGGCGTAGTGCCTCAGTGTCAATCGTTTTGTACATCCACTGCCATTTCAGTTTCCAGCGACAGCGTAGATGTACCAATTCCACCTCACTGAGAGAAGAATACTTAGCCGAATGGCCAGATAGCCGATAGTCCAAAGTTGGCAATGCCAGCTGTTGCCAAACCTTCTGACCCAGAGGCTTTTCTGGCTTAGATATGATGCCTTCCCTTGATATCACAGGTAAAGTAAACCGCAGCTGAGCAGGCGCTTCAGCAGACAAGAGGGCTTTGAGGTACTCAAAAGTCCCGGGCATTTTCTGTTCAGCAGCGGAATCCTTGGTCGTTCGCCCCAGCGGCCTTGAATGAACCGTATTTTTGCGTATCCGTTCAATATCAAATTTGTGGAACGGACGTATAGTAAGTGGGACACTTATCAATTGATCCCCCAGCTCACTGGGATCACGGTCGACCGCAACAAGACGAAGCCGCATCCAGTACCGGTTATCCCACAAAACCCACGGAGTAAAACTGCCACTAGGCGAGACGTTGATCTGCGTCACGGGGTCACGATCTCTCATGAATGGTTGTCGGGATAGCAACCAGATATTATCACCCCCGCGACGTGGGTCTTGGGACTTTCCAAGCGTGGAGGCTTCGCTTTCGAGGCGCTGGAATAAAACCCCTGCTACCGTGAAGGCCTTTCTTCTTTTCTGGTCATTGGATGTGGCGCTTGCATCATGAGAGCTATCTTGACCGGGGAACACATTGGAAACTAGTGACTCATAGCTGCGTAGCGAGAAATGGCTATCGGGGAATGGAGAGACTAGTTCTGTGATGCGGCGGAGAACGATAGTCTGGATCTGTCGGGTTCGAGAAGCTGATAATGTTGCCAGTTGGGGGTCCATGGATGCTGGGCTTGTGTTTAGGAATTGAATGACCGCTGACCCTGCCTTGGGGTTGAAATCTAGAATTCGGCATTGGGATGAGAGGAGGTAGTTGGAAAGCTCGTTTGACCTCTGGAGGAGGTTTTGGCTTGATCGGATTAGGGAGAGGATGGATTGTGATTCCAGCGCACGAGGTAGGGAGTTTGAGGTGCGAAGGCTGCGGATGGCGTTCCGGGGAGTGAGGGTTGGGTCGAAATTTGTTGGGTCGGAGACGTAGGGGACTTTGTTTTTGTGGCAGGTCTCCAAAAGACTTGATTTGGTGAAGGAGAGTAGAGGTCGGCAGATGAATATGCCGGGGCTTGCCATGTTTACTTTGGATGTGTGATTAGAGTAGACTTTATCTGTCCTAGCGTTTGGGTCAGGGAAAGTGATGAACCCATGCTTCTGGTTATCGAATCGAACTTTGGGTTGGGGTTTTGTCGGTGGTCTTGTGGGGATTGATGTAGTCGACCAGCTCTCAGAAGCCCCGAAGAGACCATGGCATTCGGGAATTCGAGCAACTTCGGGGATGCCGCCAAGACCTAAACCACTTGCCCCAGCGGATAGCCGCCAAATGGTGGTTTCGACGTTGTCATCTTGATGATGGCCTAAAAGCAACGTTTCAAGTTTGAATTCATGACAAGCTATGCCGAGGGCTTGGAAACGGAGTCGTCGAGCATGTGTCTCAAAGGCGGATGGCAGAGGACTCGATGCTCCAGACTTTGGCGAAGACAATTGACTTGAAGTAATTTCAGACCAGTCCAGACTGAGGATCTGGGTTTTTATGTCTGTTTAAACATGGTTAAATAATCTTCTAAAAATGTAAATATTCTGACTTGGTACGTACCCATATCACGAAGCCAGCCAGCAACCTTTTGTGCCTCAACAGTGCTTTCTGGACGGGCACGATGATCTACCACAAAGGCAGTGACAGAAATGGCTCCAGCAACATCTGACGATCGTTCTAGTTGCTTGCATAGGTATGCCAGAGCCATAGAGTCGGCGCCGCCACTGACGGCGATTCCTGCCAATTCGCGCGTCAGCCATAAGCTCTTGAGATACAAACAACGAGTATATAATAATTTCAATACTCAAAGCTTACCAAACCTCCGTGGAAGCTGCAGAGTGTCATTATCACCGGGTTTCTTTCCATATTTGGCGCTGCCATAATTAACGCGAGCCCGTCGCGATCCGGACCATGCTTGCTGGAAGCAACGCTGGAACAGAAATGGCGAGATTGATATATTTCCGGCCATGTCTACTCCGCTTTGGATCAAACATATGCTCGAAAACTCAACATCACTATCGACCTATAGATTATTCCACGCGCAGGAGAACCTCCGGGTGATATCGTCGGCTCGGTCAATCAATGTTCCCGAGAACGTGACCAGTAGGCCTTGACGCGAATATGTCCCCGAGATTCTGTCAAATATTATTCTAAATAATTAAGAAATGTTTTTGAAATATTGGGGCGAAATGTGTCAGTGTTTTGATGCTGACAGTAGTTTAAGTGGTGGTTGCTGAGTTCCATATACTGCTTTTGTTGGATTCTATACATTGCAGCAAACCAACACTATCGCACAGCGAGGTTCTGCATATTAGAAGGGCAGACATGGAAAAGTCGGTTTGCGCAATTTAAGCCGTTTTTACCTCCTATATTCTAGCTATGACATCAACAAGGAGGGAAAAATCTAAAGAAGATTCCCAAAAATACTACCAAAAAAACGTCTCGCCGCATGCGCAGCCGACTGTTCTCGTGATTTATATCTCTAGATCTCGAAGCAATTAGGAAAAGCAGCTAGGTAAGCGCCCTCAATTTCCCGGCCTATACCCCCAACGCCCTCGAAAATCACATCAGATTTCAGAGATCTGCCAAGAATTTCCACCCCATGTCGCAGCTCCTCCTTCAATCTATCAGCATCAGCAATCTCCGATGCAGGAGTAGGGTTATTGAGCAGGTGATAACAATCTGCAAGCCGATCCGTCGCTAGAGAGGCACGCAGTCGATGCAGTAGCATGAGAAGAGCGTAGCAGCTTTGTATCCCCGAGCAAGCAAAGTAAGGAATGGTTTTCGGATATGTCGGGGACCTAGAAGAAGGTGCTGACCCAAGTGGATTCGGATACGGTAAATTGCGATATATTGTCGTGACCACGAGCGAGGACTTGAGGCAGATGATCGAGGATTCCTGCTCGGTGAACGGGAATGAGATCTCGCAGTCTGTCACCCATTTGGGAGGAGATGTTTGATGCGGGAAATCCGCACTGTTGATTGCTGTGAGATCGCAGTATTTGTCGAGGAAAAGTGGAATGTCCATGAATGCCCGAAAGCGGTGCAGTCGAGTGCGAGCACTATCAAGGTTCAGTAAAATATGCGTCGAGATTAAAGATGAATTGCTTACGCATGGATGAACATTCGGCTGATCATCCACATGTTTTGGGCTACGGATGCTTCTGGGTTTTCATCAAAAGTCGTCAGAAGGTGGCGGTCGGTTTCGCCTATCAAAGATGCAATTTTCGAATCCAGTTTGCGTATTCGAGTGCCAAAATCGGAGAGAACGGTTGTTTCATCCACGCGTTCGATGTTCTGGACAATTTTGCTAGACTCGAAAAGAGCCTCTTGTGTTTTCATCATTATGGGCCATGGCTTGTAACTGTCAGTAGAGGATTGAAGAGTTATGAAAGAAGTTAAATAACTTACCTCCAGATATACATCAAATTTAGGATAAGGAGTCGTTATTCGTGGATCATTCAAAGAAACAATTGGTGGCTAAATATCAATCAGTCAACATCGGTCAGTCAAAGTGTTCATATTTTCTCTTACAGAAAAATGGAGGTTCGACGATAGATATGAGATCCAAATCTATAGGACCAGTGAACAACAGCTCCGACAATGCCATGTTTCTTTCACTAACCGTCATCCACCAAGCTCGTCTCTGTGCCTCAGAATAATCCGTCGTTGTCGAGTCAAGTCTATGAATGGAGATATCCATAGCAGTTGTGATAGCCTGGTTACCTCGAGCCCGCATTCTGGATATATTACCACGCTGGCAATACTCATAAATGCCAAGGACCACAAGAGCCAGAATCGGATGAAGCTGAGTAGATACCTGAGGATGTAGCTCACTTTGTACCCGAAGGGATTCTGTCCCAGGTAAATTGGTGCTCAAAGCAGGTAACAAATCGTCAGTTTCAGTTTCCACAGCAGCCAGTGCCGCCTGGGCAAATAGCTGTGCGTACAACCGCCTACGCGCAAGGCTCGGTTCGGCCATTGGAAAGGTGTCTTCAGTGGTAGGTATGAGCACTAGCATTGCGGACAAAGCAAGACTCAGCGACGATGTTGGCCAGTAAGGCATATGGCACTTTTTTGCTTGAGAACTTTGGTCAAATGGCCCAATAAGGGTAGGATGATCTTCGTGCTGTGGTGCCACCGAAGGCGGCAGCAAGGGTAAATATGGATGGATGTAAATATAGTAGGCATTGGCACTGTGTGTCCAATTAGCAGTTGCTCATGCTTTGAATCATGTGTCTTTTGCACAAACATTTCCGTTTCGGATTGATAGGCACGTATCACTGATGACCCCACATCGTGCACAGGAACCGAGTCAAAGGAGCTATCATCATGCGGGGTGAGTTGGCCCCAGATCTGGTGGGTTCCATCCACAATTGACAGAGAATCCGGGGACAGGTCAAGATTGTGGATCCCAGCGAATGGCGATACCAGACCAATCGTGTTATCAAGGAATGGTTCTAGCCGATTGTTAGATACTATGACGGCTTTTTAAGCAAGAAGACTTGAGCTACCATATTCATGGGTGGCATCTGACATTGAAGATGGCAATGAGTTGCCAGTTGATCGTCGTTGCATCTCTTCATACTGGGCTCCTCTGCGAGGACCACCCCGGCGACTGGGTCGATAACTACACTCTCTTTTTCTACCAAAGCACTAATCAAGAAATTAGCCAATGAGTACCATAATGAGGGGTTAGACATACACTGCCACAGGGATGCTGGCCATCACAACGTGTTTTCGATGTTCGACTACAAAATATGAGCTCAATGCAAGAATGAGTGGTTAACAAGGCATGCAACGCACCACGCCAGACACGCAGCTTTCACTGGTGGTTTACCGACACGAGGCATCTTGTCTAATTGCCTGAAAAATGCAGTTAGTGATGATTATCTCTGGGCTGTAGGGACGTCACCATGGCACGTGATATCTATACCCTGATCGGGTGAGGGCAATTTTGACGTGATAAGATCTACCCACTTTGACTTTTGACTTATCTGTTGCCTCTATTACTTCGCAAGAAGACCAATAGGCCATTGAAAGTATAGTTTGTCCAAGGTAAAGAAGTTAGTTCTGGTTCGGCGTTTGATTTTTGGACCAAACACCGAATCAACCGTCATTGGCAGAGGACACCCGCTATCGGCGACTGATCAATATTTACTACGAAAATATATCTGCAATGTTTTAAGAATACATAGTGCATTAATGATAAATTGGGAATAAATTGGGAATAAATTGGGAATATAAGATAGAAAAACAATTTACATGTATCAATTTATTTGCAACAACTCTTGCCAAGATTGGGCGCTTGCGAGGTATCCAGACGACAGAAACAAGAAGACGTTACAGGCACATCAGCCACGGCAACTGCTATCGCTAACTGCGGCGCAATAATGCTCGCCTCTTCATGTCGACCAAGACGTATCAAGCATTCATGGTAGCCCTGCAAAGCCCATACATTATTCGGATGCTGACGAGCACGGATTAGAGTGCTATCGATACCCAAGTCAGCCTGGTAGACAGCCGCTGCATCCTCGACATGGCCCTGCTCTAGCAAGAGAGCAGCGTATGCATGGCGGGTGGGTTGCATCCAACTCCAGGGCTCACTGTAGCCCAGCCCATCATCCAATTCAATCGAGCGACGTAGATGCTCGAAAGCCTCCGTGTAGTTCCCGCGACGGTACTCGATCTCTCCGTCCAGCATTTCCGACGCCACCCCCAGAATATCAATGCACTTGTTGGGCCAGTCCAAGCGCGTATCCGGGACTCGATCCCGCGCTGCTCGATATAGATCTCGCTCTCGCTCTGCATCCGGCACGTTCCCTGAAGCTGCATATGCCACACCCTTGGCATAGTGCAGAACCGCTATCGTCATGCAGTACAGGTCTGGATCTGAGGGGATCGCAATTTTGATAATCTCATCCCACATGCCGAAGCGTATCATGATGTGTGCGCGTACGGACATGAAAACTTCGATGTAGTCCGCCAGGGCCGAGAGCAGTTCTTTCGGCAAAGTGGCCTCCATCCGGTCCACGGCTGTAAATGCGGCCTGTTTCTGGCCCGCAAACATGGCGGCGTAGATGAGCGAGTGGTAGGTGTGCATGCGGTAGACTGAGTAGAAATTAAATGGGCCTTTCAGCGCCAGGTATTTCTCGTCTGCAATAGCGGCACGCTGGTTGGCGCGCACGGCACTTCGATAGTCTCCAACCAGCACATCCAGATGGGATGGCATGTGAGTGATATGGCCCGCATCTGGAACGAGATCACGGAGGTGGTCCGCCGGTCGGAGACCTAGTTCTGGGAAGGGTGACATCTCAATGAGATGGATGTACATGTGCAGGAGACCGGGGTGTTTGGACGCATCTTTATGTTGGAGAGCTGTCTCCAGAACCCTCTTTGCTTCCATTGTACGAGCACCTGGGTTTGGTGCGCCGGTCACCGAGTCCCACAATTTCCAGGGGGTGAGGCTGATCATGGAATCAGCGTATAGAGTGACCACATCCAAATCATCGCTAAACTGTTCATATGCCTCTTTCATGGCATCGGCATATGCAATATTTTGAATAGCATATTGTTCCATGCTAGCAGGCTTATCACTTTGATAGCGGGCGGAGATTGCCTTGGCGAGGACCTGTTCCAGGGGGGAACCATTTTTTTTAGAGAGAAAACGAGCTTTGATTGCAGCTCGATATGTATTTTCAACGACAGCTGCCAAATCGTTGCCCAGGAAATCCCAGGGCTGGTTGTAGTTGGGACCGAGAGAATAGGCCAACCCCCAGTAGGCCATTACACATAATGGATCATGCACAAGTGCCTGTTTGAAACAGACGACGGATTCCTTATGGTTAAAAGAATATGCCCATACCAGACCACGGTCGAACCATATTTGGGCTTCAGGACTAGTGGTTGTGATCACCTTCCCGTATGACCCCAGGTTGTAGGGATATTCTTCAGTTGATGCCTTTGTCATTTTTTGAAGATATATGCCCTTGGGGTGCCCTTGGGTGCCACCGTATGATGTTAGCGGGAAGGTGAAGAAGAATATTGACGAGTTCGGGTTTAGGCGGGGTTCCCGCTACTTGTACCCAACGACTTCGGACTTTTCACGACTCCATTTTATTGGAATTATTTTATGTTGGCGTGAGATATTTTGAACTTGGGAACTAGTGAACTAGTGAACTATTGAACAATTGTGAACTATACTGTCTATATTGCATCTTATTGGACCCCAGTTGGTATGTAAATACGATTAGGTTGTACTAGATTGTACTATTGTTTTAGTAGATCATATTTATACACCTATTACTATTACACAATGATCTGTTCTTTCCATTCAATTGCTTTTCCTGATTCTTTAGATCTGATTCCCAAAAAAATTTAAGTACAAAAGAGTATAAATGAAACAGGGGTGAAATGCAGTTCAGCCTCAATAATCCCAGTCCCTATTTTCCCCGTCGGATCAGCCCACACTCTTATATATCTGGGTTTTTTCCCATCATATGTTGTCCCTAATTTAGGAAGTTCGTCTCCTTAATTTCAGACTTGAAATTGAGCTCTGTGCTTTCACTTTTGAAACCATCTAGTCTTCACTAAATTTGTCACTTTTCCTATGTTGTATATTTGCAGGGATATCTAGCCAAAGCCTTAATACAAGGTTAGACACGCTAGGCAATGGTGCACAATTGCACGGACCGACCTCCGATATATATCTATATATTATATATTATATATATCGCAACAAAAAGGGGCATATGCAATCCTGGACTATAACATACAACATAGAGATTTCTTAATGATCAATCTTTCATGGAAATTGCAAAACATTAATTAGTCAGCTTATGTCCCTGTCCAGGTGTCCAGGTGAAGTCCACCGATACCCGGATCTGAGCAAATTGGCCCAATAACAATTGACCAAAAATTGGGAAATGGGATTGGATCGGTCTCGCACATTCCATGCTGAGAAATTAATGCGAAGAAGCGATATCGCTCCAATTTATGGGAAATGCCGGCTGACCAATGTATAGACCTAGGCAAACAACATAATCACCTCTAGGGCTAGAGACTAGGCTGACTGAGAAAAAGCAAATTATTTCTAGGGCTATGTTATCCCTGGTGTTATCCCTGGGGCTGACCATCTCTTATGAAAGCCTTATGAAAGCCAGCATAATGCTGAATGATCTCCAAGCCTAATTATTGAACCAATCAGAGTGAAGCACTGTTCCCATGATCTGCGGGTGAGATACAAGGGAAAACATAAGCCAAATGTGACCTGTCTGCATGATTACGATATGTACCCTTGTTCGAGACATATTGCAGATCCCAGACATTCTAAGCTCGTTCCTGGGGCGAGGCAGACTCTAGGCAGACGCTTATCTTAGAAGCTCTTTGTTTGCTACGGGACTATACTCTCCCTAGATCCTCGACCTCTCTCTTCCATTTTCCTCACCATCGACTACCTATTCCTGCTTTCTCAACGCCAAGCTATACCCCAAATCACTCGAAATGGCACCGTCATCTTCACTTGAGACATTCCTACTGCATTTCGGTAGCTTCCTCGGTGAACGACTCGAGACAGCTCCCTTCCAGACCTTCCTCGTCTTGGCCTCTATCTGGATTCTCTCTATCCCGACTTTCGTCTTTCTCATCACCCGCTACTGGCCCTCTAATTCCGGAAATGCCAAACCTCAACTGCGATGTCGCTCGTGCGGGAGCACCGATGTTACTGAGACCCCTGCGGGGCCCTCGATTCCAACCCCGAGTGAGAAGAGGGATTGAGTCACGGGGCACAGAACGCCACATGGGACTAGGGGTCCAAGAGGAGAAACATGCGTTCGTTGGTCACCATGTGTCAGCCCTGGACTAAGCAGCCTATTTTGGATTTTCCGGTTAATCGCCAATGGTATTGGTTACTCTAGTGCAGCTTTAGTTTAGCTTGTTTCTGCCTTCTTTGAGGCTAAGCTAATTTAAGAAAGAGTTGCATACCAAAAGCGGAACTTGCCGTGCACTTTATGCAGGGATCTGGCCCTGTTTCATACTTCATCTTTTTACTCTATGCTTTGACGATGCTCATATCATGACTCTATGCTCTACATTGATTAGAAATGTGAAAATTCAGGAGAGCAAGTTTCGATTTACACAGTCCCAAAAAAAACCCCCTTCATTACCTGGCTTCCATTCCTCAAACCTGTTATCTGTAAACCGTTAAGCCGTAAGCTTACCCGATCTACAAGCCACATGCAGCGCTATTCTTCAAAATCCGGTCTATCCGAATACTAAACGTGAATGGAACACCGTCATACTCGACGCCCCTCAACTAGTGCTAGTCGAATAGTCCAATCCCACAAAGGCAACTGTCTCATCTGCACGGTATACGAGACTACTAAGCCCTAACGGTGCGAAGCGTCTCTTATCTGTGTGGATGTAACCTCGTGCATGCCCAAGTTTGAGCAAAAAACCCGAGCAGAAGACATTATCCACATGGAAATTGCCTCTTTGGCCACGGCAGCCTGCTCAACCAGGTACCTGTCTCACTGACAGCATGAGCAGAAGCCCAAACTATAAGAACCCCTCGAAAGAACGCAGAAAAGAGAACTTCCAGAACAGACCAAGCAATCATCTTCAGAATCATCCAACATCCACCCAACCAAGCACTTCTTCAAGATGCTCTCCACCACCATCATCACCAGCCTGATACTGGGTCTTTCCCAGCTAACCACCGGCTCTGCCCTACCCGCAACCACAACCCCCTCCTCAACCGGCTTCATCGTGAGCCATGTAGCCGCAGACTACTTCCCCGACTCAAAGGCCGACCTCAGCGCCTTCGACGTGGACGTCCGCTTCGTGGGATACTCCCCCGCAACCGAGTCCTGGCTCACAGCCCTGGACCCGCACTCCGCGAGCAGCGACGAAGAAAAGGCGCGTATGCTGACGGAAGCCGCATACGCGAAGAAATACGACGAGAACGACGCCGACATGGCCGGCGACGTGGAGTCCCTGCTCGCACACGTTGCAGGTAACGTCACTGTCGCCAACAGAGGTATTGAGAAGCGGTCGAGCTTCAAGACTAGCGCTGCGCATGCTGTGCTTTGGAGTGCGTGCGGCACTGTGTTCTCTTGTATCTCTGGTACAACTTGCCAGTTTGATCAGCAGATTGGAAAGGCGCCGCGCAGTCACTGCGAGCAGCAGGGTGGAGCGAGCTGCTGTGTTAGTTGGTCGACTTATACCGTGCGCGCTGGGTTCTTCTCCAGTACTTGGACGGCTTGTAATCAGGAGGTGCAGGCTGAGCAGAAGAGGAGTGCTTCTTGTGAGGGATATGGAACTGGAGATCAGGGTGGTGATGTCTGTCTTAGCAACCGTGCTTCTGGATGTACCTAGATGGATTGTTGGGAGTGGGATAGTTGAGGTCGGAGAGGGGGAAAATGGGGGTGGGCCTGGCTGTTTGGCTGGGGTTGGGGGATTCTCAGGCAGAATGAATGTCGTTGTTGTAAGGTAGAGGGCGATGGTTGTCGATTCAAGCTTGGTGTCATGGTTATCGTTAGGCATCAAATGAAATCGTTGCCCTTTTCTAAAAGTCCCCAAGGCCTTCATATGTGATAAAAGCGAAGAATTGATACTCTGGTAGAATGGGATTCATCAAGGAAATGGGCATGTGGTTAGTACGTGGGTTGGGACTCCAGTTCGTGAAGTTAGTCAGGGGCAATGGACGGAAATTACAAAGAATAGGCCATGAAGGATCCATAAATTCGATTCTTCGCCAATGGTGCCGGTGTTACCGTCAACATTAATACATGAAAATGCAAGCTGCAAGTTGCAAGCTGCGAGGCAAAAGCAAGGCCCAAAGCAATAGCCAAGCAAGCCAGATGCGCTAACATCCATAAGAAGAGAAATAGTAGATGCCATAGACATCAAAAAATCAAAAATCAAAAAATATCTCGCCCATATGTACTAGAGATCCATGCATGTAGCATTGGTGTAGGCCGAATATCAAAATGTACCGTTTGAACGAAAGGAAGAAAAGGAGAAGGACGAGAAAGGTCCGGAGGCTGGCGTTTTTCATTAGGTGACAACAGAGCCTGCGACAGAGGCCGAGTTAGTCACGGAATGGATACTCCCGGGAGGTGCATGTGCATTGCTATCCCCGTTCGAAATATGGGGTTCTTCCGCATGGACATGATTCTCGTCAATACCCAAGAGAGACCGGGGCGGGTGGATCTCTTTCTTGCCGTTTGTCTTGTAGTGGAGAACCATGTCTCCCGAGGTGCGCCAGAAGTGCGTGCGAATCGTTGCTAACGTCATGTTTGGTGGACAGAGCTATGGAAAACGATTGAGATTAGTATGACTGACTCTGTACAAAATGGGAGAAAATTTTTACCATCTTCTGGCAGTATAGCTCGAGGTACTCCTCTGGCGCCATAGCGGACTCTGCTGGTTCATCTGGGTTTGCAGGGTCAATGCGCTCTGCGACATAAGCAAGAACCTTCTTCGTTCGGAGCATGCGGTTGGCATTGAGACGAGAGCCATTGTTATTGGTGTTCAGGTTGCCCGGAGGAGCACCGTTAGGAGCCGGCCTGGATGAATAGCTGAGATTAGTTTCATCATCAACACGCATTATAGAGTAGAAGGTCCGAAACATACGGTTCGGGCTTGACGACTGGCGGCAAGGTATCATCGAAGGGCTTCAACACAAAGGCGATCTTAGTCTGCTCCTTGAAGGGAATTTGATTCTATAACCAATCATCAGTAAGGGGGAAAGCAAATATCATAAAAAATAGACTTACCTTCAGAAGAAGCTCGCCAAGCCAGTGAGGAATCGATTTCTTGAGTCTTTCGAGGTCTTCACCAATGCGGCCCACGGTACCTCTGTAGAGATCCGAGGCCACAGCAGTATCGCCAGTTTCCTCCTGGATGAAGACTGCAGTCCGAGATGGAATCTCCAGTCGCGGAGTTTCATCCTCAGAACAAGGCAAAAGA